AGATTCTGCAACGCCGATGTTTGTTATCTTTATGCGCGATCGCATCGCGGGGCGTGCGGAAATTCGCGAAGCGTAAACCGACGAATTGCATTGCGGGACACGGTGCAGAAATTCAGCGATGCGGCGCGAATAAACAAGCGAAAGCTCGGGGGGAGGCCGCGGAATTGCAAAACGCTCCGAAAGAACAGCTGAAGGATGCGGCTGGTAAACTGCGGCCGATTCGTTTACAAAATTCGGTTGACTTAATAATCGCGCGTCCCGACGCTTACAAGCTTCACAAAGGATAAATCTACTTTTCGCGTGAATTTTAATAAAGACGATTAAGCGAATAAGAAACAATAGATCAGTGGAATCGAAGAATACAAGAAACAGAAAATTGCTTTCCCGAGAAGACGCAAAAAAACGAATTGTAACGATTAAGGGCTAATAACGTCTGTTCCCTTTGGACACGCTAGTCGAGTGGATTTCCGAAGCGGATCGGTTCTTTCTGGAAGTTAAAGCGGAAACGTTTGCGCGTCTCGAAGCGACGTTAGCGTCTTCCTTCGCCCCTTGTTTCACGACGGCGCCATTTTCCACCGTCGGATATCGCCAGAGCGAGCACGAGTATTGGTTTACATTCGGGTTCGTGTAGGTTCGAAGGTCCCGGGAATTAAATTTCACCGCGCTATGTAAACATCGCCATCGTTGACCGAGACGAGAAACATACGGAATCCGGAACGTACGAGTGTTCTTCTCGAGTTAATCGGATCGCGCGATGCGTTCCTTCGGAGGGAATCGCGTGAACGAGGATAAGTGTGTCCGAAAAAAAGATATAATCTATTATATAGCAAATTTATAAATTTTATTTCGAAACTATTCGGAATTTTTTATGGAGAAGAACGCGAAAGAATTTCATTAGTTTTTGCAAATATAACGATAATAAAAAAAAAGACTGATTCTGTTAAATTAAATCCAGCATTAAACGCCTTTATTTAAAACTTACGCTTTTATAGACAAAGTTATAGAAATAATTGACGCGGATAAGAGCTGTGCGTAAAAAAATTTAAAAGGGAAAAGAGCTTTAAGCAATGGTGCGGTTGCAGCAAACAAAATATACAAGACAATGAAATATCGCACAATTCGCAGACGCGAATTATTTGCGCAAAATACCGATAACGTTACTCAGTGCTATTTATAACCCGTGTGCGTCATAATGTACTTTCTTTCGCGGAAATTGCAACCAATTGGGATGACTGATATGACGACGACGTCATACCGAAATAAGAAGTTTATTGTTTCTGGATGAGAAAGAAGAGATAGCTTAGAGGGTTACGGATGTTCATATCACCGAGAATCCGATCGTATGGGATAGGTCAAGAGGTATCGTTTATTTTGAAAAGTTTCGAAATTTTCCAAACACATCTGTGGTGCACTTCAAGGAAAATATTTGCAGCGGCGCAGTACGAGTCAAAATATGAAGCGTCATTCCTTCAAAATCTTAGAATATTTTAAGTTAAATGACACAAATGGCATTTACGAAATGTTTAAATAAAGAAAGCCTAATGAATCCTTTTCATAAATTGTGTTTTTGATTAATATTTTATATGTATTATTATATTTCGTTTCTCTGCCTCGTCGTCGTTGGTTATTTTCTAATTAATTTACATGTTTTCATTTTATCTTGTTATCTTATGGAATAAATTTGATTAGAGAGAGATGACCAAACAATTATATTACGGTTTAAATATTAGCAGAGTTTTAAAAAATAATTTTATAAAATCTAAAAATTATTATAATAAAAAAATCAAGAAATGATATCTTACACACGCATCAAGTATTTGAAGAGATTAAGAGATCATTCCTTTATAAATCTCTGAATTTAATGCATTTTATTTAATTTTATATAAACGTCTTACACCACAATAATCTTTTCTATAAAAAGTTTAGAGCTCAAGAAAAAATATAAGCTCATAAAAAATAGCACGTGACACATAAGAGATTATATTTAATAAATTTAATGATATTTCGAATCGCGTCACGCTTTGACGGTGCGACGGTTGAAAGCCGATAATTATTTCAATAATTAATTTTAGTTCCGCCCGTTTAATCGATTTCGTCCCTGGGGCGATAACAAATATGCAAATCGCCCGTGTACGCCCTACGTCGAATCGACGCTGATCCCGATTACGAACAAACTTTGCTTCATGAAGTGATCTTATTAAGTTTAACTTCGACTAGATAAATCCAGTCTTTGCGAATATTGCAGACACATCTCGTTCCTTGAATGCTTACTTACATACGACAGTTGTGATGATTGAGTAAAGTGATGGATTGAATATTCACAGATCGGTGAATCTACAAATCTGCAAATTTACACGATTGAATTGATTGATTGATTAATTTATTGTATAATTTAATTACATAATCTAAAGAAATTATATAATTTAATCTGAAGAAGAATTTGTGATTTATTTTAATCTTATTGTTAGAATCACTTTACATTTTACGAAAAAATGGATTAGGAAAAATGAATGGAATCAATTTGAAGAGAGATAAGAATATTAACGAAGTATATCCTCCATCTAATCTTAATTAGTCTCTTTATTAATCAAAATTACATATCTCACTATAAAATAAGAAGCTGAAGGAATTTATAATAAGATATTAGAGAAAAAATCATGAAACATAGTTGCATGTATATTAATATACATCGCAATTATATCTTGAATATATATTATAAGACAATGAATTTTTTTTACTTATCAGACAGATTATAAATTGCATTGTGGAGGAACCTCGATAGAGCTCAAGAGACAATTAAACTTTTGCCAGAACTTTGAGAGAGCGTTTTGCATCTTGGTTTTACGACAGCTAGCCCGAGGCGAGAGAAAGAGCTCTCGAGTCTAGATAGATGGATTCTGTCTGGCTTGTCGCTCCATTTAAATGAAAATTAACCAGCTGGTCGTTTGGTAGGGGCAATGATCAATTTGACAGTGCACGGCTCGAGAAAATACACTAGGGATCGCATGGATGAAAGGATATCGTATAATCTATGTATCTTTACGCAAATTATAATGACTGAATGTAACTTATTGAATTATGAAAGTATGTGAATTTATAAAGTATGTGAATTCTCTATCTTTTTTCTCTCTTTCTGTTTCTATCCATATTTCTATTTATCTCTAACTATTTATTATATCATTTATATGTATAATTCATAAGTCGCATTTATTTATAGATTTCTATCATGAATATCTATGCTTGTACCATTTTCTTTCTATTGCTACACATTATTAAATAATATTATACACAGCTTATATACAGAAACGAAGACGGAGAATGAAGCACGTTGAGTTGTTCAATCTGCTTCTTATAACGTCATGAATTTATCCTCAGCTCTTAGAGAACTTGATTTCAATAACACGCAGCGTATACGCGTTAGATCAATTTAAATGGCGAAAAATGGTACGTCGGGATGATCGAAGATATTTTGAGAACCTGGATAGCGCAATTCAACGGTTTCGGAGGCGGCAACTCAGTAGCGAGGAATAGGAGGGGTGGCGACGTGTCCTGTCGAGTGTTTTCGCAAGGCGGGAGTCGAACCCTTGGAAAAACAGACGCTAAATTGAAAGTGTCGTGCTATATAAGAACGCGGGGCAGCTTCTTTTCCGTCCAACATGACGTTATCACTTGACATTTCTCGTGAGTTTCTTAGTTGCATAAATATGCAAATCATATGTGACATCGATGAACATTATTTTAGATAAGTGAAGTGCGTATATAAGTGATATCCGCGAAAAAGAGATTATAAATGAATTAGTTATTCGATAATTCGGCTAAAGAATAGCCATGATTGATACAAAACTTTCTGTAAAATAAAAAATGTGTTAAAAAATTATTAATTAAATCAAAAAAATTTTAATATATTATTTTAATATTTTATTATATTATAACACTCTTTAAAAAAATAAATTATATGTTCTACGTATGGCATACTATTGACATTTTTTTATATAGACTCTGGAATTAAATTCTTATCATATGTGCTAGAAAAGAATCTGTCAGTAAAATTTTAAAAAGAAAAAAATTGATTATATTGCAATCTTAATCGCATAATTCTTATTTTGATTTCAATATTCAAACTTCATGCATATATAGGAGTAAATAAATTAGTTAACTGAAAGATTCAAGAGGTTATTTAGATTTGATTTACATTGATATTCCGCATTTAGTCCTAAGATACTGTTCGATTTTGAATTTTATATTTATTTTTTATGTATATATATTTATCTTTTAACAACATTATATGAAAATGTAATTTATTTAAGAGATTTCAGGTTTTTAAAATATTCAATAAACACTTCTACAACACTACAAGCAGGAGAAAGTGCTGCATATAACAAAGATAGAAATATTTCACAATCGATCATTTTTACCTAAAAATAAAAACTTTCTCTAAATTTAACCTAATATTTTGTCTTATAATTAACATTTAAAAAAACTTAAGAATGCCAAGGGAGAGCATTAAGAGATAAACATCTTTATAATAGTCTTTATTTTCTTTTTAATAGTGCTGTCAATATCCAAATATCCGGAATATTTTTAGATCCAATCCTCCTATACGATTATTGTGTACGATTACTTCGAATTACTTCACGAATTTGAAAATCCAGAAAGCAGGAAATCGAAAGATATCTAAGAGATACAGATAAGATACACAGATAAAAAACTGGTTTATACTGATGGCACCATTTAATTTCTAAAACCATGTGCCATAAAATCTGGAATATTTTTAGATATTCAATCCTCGATATATGATTTATTGCGTACGATTTATTACATCAAATATTCACGAATTTGGAAAACGAAGAAGCAAAAAATCGAGAGACATCCAGGGGTGTACAAATAAAACCGGTGTATACTGATAGCACTATTTAATTTTTAGAACGTGCGTCGTAAAATCCGGAACATTTTTAGATATTCAATCCTCGATATATGATTTATTGCGTACGATTGCTTCGAACATTCACGAATTTGAAAAACAAGGAAGCAGGAATTCGAGGGTCATCCGGAGGTTATAGATAAAACTGGTTCATACTGATAGCACTATCTAATTTCTAAAACGTGTGCTATAAAATCTGAATCACACGGCAGTCTGAATCAGTTGGTTCTCTCACTTGTCACCCTAAACATCTTCGACACTTGCTCGATCCCCGGCTGGGGCTAAGACACCGCGCGCATACAACTGTCACTCGTTTCCACCGTTATCGCTTTCTCCAGGCAAGGTCCACCAGGCGAGATCACCACCTTAATCCTCGTGCTCGTTGTTCCGCTTGGTATCCGCGAAAAGTATCCGACGGCCGTTCGGGCCGCGGAAAAATTCCGCGTCGCGGCGTGCGGCTCGGCTCTTATTCGCAACCCTCCTCGAGCCCTGCGCGAGTCGTCGAGGGCGTGACCGCGCGAACGACTGGGGCGCGACCATTGGCAAGGTCGTGACCAGGGCGGACGTACGTCAAAGCGGAGCCGACACCGCGTCCGGATTGGCACTACGATATAGGCGGAGCCGTGGACGGCCGTGCGGCCAATAGCGCGGCGCGACGAGCGGAAACCTCGTGATTTTTTGAAAGAGACCCGAACGGCGCAGCCGTCCTCGGGCATCGCCGAGTACTCCGGGCCGCGCGCGATGCCGAGCTCCCAGTGTGTTTTTACTCGGGGTTGAGTAAACTCCGGCCTGTTGTGTATCATAATACCGCGGCGTGCACACGCGGGTACTAACGGGGTTAGCGTGCGTCTCGCGTTAGCGGCACCGAGTCGCGCCGATCAACTGAATGCATCTTCGCCTCTCCTACCTTCGTCGCGGCACCCGACCCGACCCGTCCGTCTTTCGTGTGTCTGGGAAGATTCCCGGGATACACGGTCAACAAAATAGCACTGTGGAGCAGCAGGCGCGCGGGGCGCGCCGCGGATTCCGTGGGCGACGCGCTGTTTTTCGGGGTATCAGCTGAGCGTCATTGCACGTAGGATATTTATCGATCTGTCTCGAACAATATCCTTGGATCGCGGTAATGCAGTGACAAGTAAGTGCGCGTGCTCAAAGTGCCCTGAGTGACGGATATGTGCGTGAATCTTTTCGCTCGCGAATGTAATATCCGATTGTTAAGAAGGAAGATACTGGTTAAAGGTAGAGGACAAGCTACAGTTGAAAATATATAAAAATTAATTCTATCGGTGAATAATAGTTTACTATTGTAAAGGAAAACAATTTCAAACAAGAGGAAACAATACATGACAAAATAAAATAAAAATCTACATAAACAAAGAAGTCATCTCTCGATTAAAGAAAATAAACAATTTTTAATACAAGCATCATTCCTTAAGATAAACAAACAAATTCACCGATGAAGAAGTGATCATAACCATCCTAATCGGAAGCATCCTTCCACGATCACTCAAAAAACATGTGTATCGTATAATTATCTCTCTGCAGAAGCAAAGAAAAATAGCGAGGACATATCATCCATTGAAAAGAAGACAGCTTCTCTTGCTCCAGTCAGAAAAAAAGTTTTTTTTTTCGTTTTAATCCGTCTTTCACGATTGTTAAAGACAGAAGATGCATACGCTCTTTGGCGAACAGAATGCATACTATCGACATGCGACGGCGGTGCCAGTGGGCATGGGCACCCCGTCGTATCCGGGGGTGGGCGCCACTCCGGGTTACTATGAACAATATCGTTACGGTGGCTACGCGACGGCCGCCGGGTACCCGGTGTCGGGTATCGGCCAGCAGCACATCCATCACGCTGGCAAGGACATGGTGAAGCCCCCGTACTCGTACATCGCGCTGATCGCCATGGCCATTCAGAACGCGCCCGACAAGAAGATCACGCTGAATGGCATCTACCAGTTTATCATGGAACGATTCCCGTACTATCGCGAGAACAAGCAGGGCTGGCAGAACTCCATTCGGCACAATCTCAGCCTGAACGAGTGCTTCATCAAGGTGCCGCGCGACGATAAGAAACCGGGTAAGGGTAGCTACTGGTCCCTCGATCCCGACAGCTACAACATGTTCGACAACGGCTCTTACTTGAGACGCCGTAGACGCTTCAAGAAGAAGGACGCGCTTAAGGAGAAAGAGGAGGCGCTCAAGCGGCAGGGTCTAGTGCCGGAGAAACGGGTACAGGAGGATGCCAAGTCCGGCGGCAGCCAGATCGCGTTGCCGCCGCCGGATACGCCAGCGAAGAAGCTCAGCGCTCTGGAGAGCAACACCACCGGCTTATGCAAGCCTAAGCGGGAACCGGTGAATGATCACAACGCCGGCAATCATTGTATGGCGGCGGTCCAGGCGAGCAAATACGGCTTGCACAGCCCGATACAGGATACCAAGACGACGACGGCCGTTGCGGCGCCCGGGCAGAGCGTCATCCAGACAGCCTTAAGTCACCAGGTGCACCAGGCGCATCAGGTACACCAGGAGTCGATTCAGGACGTGTCCATGGCCGGCTTGGATCCGACCAGCTTCAGCGTGGACGCGCTGATGACCACGCGGGAGAACAGCGGCGGCCTGATGGCGCGGGATAATCAGCATCACTCGCACCATCCGCACGGTCTCCAGCATCCTCACTCCATCATGAGCAGCAGGGAGTCCATGGGTAGCGGCAGCAGAGACCTGTCATCCGCGTGCACCACCACGACCACCACGACCGCCGCGGTAGCAGCGATGATGGCCACCACGGGCTACGGACACACCAGCACGGTTTCTCGGGGCAACGCCTCGCCACCCGGGACGATGTACACGCCGTATTGCGCGCCGGCGGCCGCCGGATACGCCATCATGGACCACGCCGAGTACAACTCGAGGAACCACGCGACCAACGCCGTAGGACACTCGCAGTGGTATCAGGACGCCGCGAGCCCCGACGCAGCGATTTATCAGGACACCCAGTCCCCGAGCTGTCAGCTTTACAGGTAAGGCGGATGATGGGTTGAACTCTTTCATCGGTTCGCATTGTTTTCATTCCATGAAAAATATGATATTGGAGCAAAGTCTGTCTTTTGTAAAGATTGTCAGGAATATAATTGTTATAATAATTGTTACAATAAATAAATAGAATAATTATATAAACTAATCTGGCTTTTATAAAGATTATCATTAATATATCGTTATAATAAATAAATATAATATAGTTATATAAATTGATTAAATAAAGGATATGGATTGTTGATATAATACGTACATCATTTAATGTGATCGTAAAGATTGTTTCTTTATAGAATATCATATATAATATAACACACATATTAAATTCATTGTGTGTCTTTATTTTGAGTTTACAATTAATAAATACATTTATACAATATTATAAATTGATATTAATTAAAATTTATCTTAAAATAAACTAAAAGTACCAAATATTAAAAGTTAAAATCCAATAAATTTTTCATCATTGATAATAAAGAAAGAAAAAATATATTGTTTATGTAAATATGTAGATATGTGAAAATATATAAATTGTGGCATTTTATCCACATACATACATACATACATATATGCACACATATATACATACATATACGTACATTAGACATAATGTCATTGTGTCAACAAAAGTAGTGCAATAGTGGAGCAATAGTGGAGCTAGACATGATTTGTATACCAAGCTAAATAATACAGTTTTTATTATAAAATTATTAGATATTAATTGATATTAATTTAAATTATAAACTTAATATATTTATCGTATATTTACTTAGAATATTATACATATTTATTTATTTATTTTATTTATAGATTTATTTATTTATTTATTTATTCATTTATTTATTTATTTACCATGACTATATAATATTATAATATTATTCCTTTCTTGAAAAGTACTAAAAGTATATAAAGTACTTCTTTGTTACTGCAAACAGCATTTTAAGAGACTGATCTTTTAATTAATTAAAATGATATGATTAAATATAATTTATTCAGATGCATAAGTATACCTTGCAAGAGTAACTTTCTCTTATGACCAATTTCTCCATTGTAAATAAATCGCGGCGAAAGTTTATTACACAGGTAGTGGTAACTTTTGTGTAAAAGTTTGACAAGTCGCACCTCTGTACTTAAAAAAACTTACATTTTTAATTTTAACACTTTATTTACCATTGATTACTCATATAGATACATGATTTCATATGGCAAACCTTCAATCTTCCAATATTTAATAACTGATACATAAAAATCAAAATTAATATAATTTTTATAATGTAGCACTTTTATACATTGCATATTTAAAAATTGACGTAGAGCTTATGTTGCCAAATTTCTTTTACACGAGAAAATTCCACGTTCCAATAGCATATCGATTGTATCAGTGAATTAATAACTTATAGTACCTTTCATATAAATCTAGGATTCATAGATGAAAAAATTTTTTACATAGAAGACTTTTCACGGTTTGCGTCATAGTTGTTGATAGAAATTGATTATTTAAACCAATAACCATGGTGTATTTGTTGAAAAAAGTATCAGTTTTTTATAAATTTTAGATTGTAAATAAGATTAATTAAAATCGCGAATTAATTAAAATCCTTCAGAATGCAATTTAATCTGTCGCAGATCCAGCCCACCGACACCGCTTTCGACGGGTGCGGCGCCGTCTCCTCCGCTGTACCACAGATATTATCAAGACTGTAACGCTGTTAACACCAGCGGCAATCTGCCGATAACGTTACATAAGTACTGAGAATATCGAAATTCAAGGTCCCATCAACGGGACCTTGAAGAACACCATGGCGATCATTACGATCCGGGCTTGGTTTACGTGAAACAAGAATGGATTCCCTCGACGGACGAACTCGCCAAGGAGTGGAACTAGAAAATGTCTCGGAGAGGAATCCGGTAAAGAAAAAAAAATGACGTAACTCTAGTTTCCTGCCCGTATCGAATCGTATCTTCTTATCGCAAAAAATCGTTGTCGGTAATATGTAGGTAATTAGTTAATACGACGATTAGCGTAATGAATCGTGAATATCGTTGAGGATAGTTATGTGATAGTCAGCGAGTTAATAGCGAATTCGTTTGGATGCACTAGTGCATATTGGTGCATATTTTAAGGACTGCATATAAATTTACAACAGTATAATTAGAATAAATTAATTAATATTATAAATTATTATTATTATTATTATTATTCATTACACGCAATAATAATAATATAACTCGGAAAATTAATTTAACTTATTTTAGTTATTTATACTAATGTAAATTTGTACGACAGCCTTTAAGTGCATCTAACTGAATTTACAAGCTAAAACTTCTATCGAGATTTCGATAGAAAAATACGTCGGTCCACAAAAATCCACAATATTACTCTCATTTATATTCGCATTTTTTTATTCTCATTTATATTCTCATTTTTTTATATCATTGTAATATTACAACAATCTTCAATTGATTCGAAATAAATTAGTTAAATAATAATGTTTTTGTTTATAATGTAAATTAACTACCAGAAAATTTTAACATATTCTTTCGAGACTGGAAAAAGATCTCTAGTAGACAATTTCCCGGAAAATTTGATAATATTCCAATTAGATGGATTTTGTAATCTTATCCGAGTGATTAAAATCAATAGCTCCCAGAATAAAAGATAAGCATGTGTAAAAAGGATCATAAATTTCAATCGGTGAGAGAATTTTCTCTTCCCTTTCGACACACTGAAAGATGATGCATCGTTTTTAATCAACAGAATCGTAAATTCGATGGTCGTGCGAGTCGATTTTCCTTATTTCACTCGATAGTCTCGAGATTTAATGAATGAGGCGCAAGTGAACGTCCGGGAAGAGGAAATAAACCGCGAATTTCAACTTAATCTCACCTGCGCAAACAACGCGAAACCCGTCACTGACCTACCTATCTGACAAATTTTTTCGGCCATCGCCGAATCATGTTTTCGCGCGCATCTGTGCAAACCGCCGTAAATCGCGCGAGGCGCGTGGAAATATCGCCCGGCGCGTCTCTGTTTGCCAATTGTCTGCTTCCGATAGGTATAGCGATAAGGACGAATCAAAGTCATCGGCCCGGATCGTGCGGTTCGGATTTTCGGTCGAGTATGCGATTTTTCACGGAATTCGCATTACGTCGAACAATATCCCGATATTTCGAAAATATGACTGCATGATTTGCTCACGTATTTTCGTTCTTTCCGCCGGGGTATCTTTGGAGCGGGTTAAAAAAGTCATTGTTTGCTTTGCGCGACGCGTTTTGCATCGAGTATTTCCCGATCCCGAAATGTCCGCTTTTTTAACCGTGATTATTCCGACGAGTAGTTTCAGAATTTTCGCATTTAATGTGAATACGCCATGTCGGATACATGAGCGAATTACAAGTAGCTCGGGGAACAAATGGGTATATCGTCCGATTATTTTATATTTGTAAGTAGAAATGGTTTAATATTTTAATGTATCTTGGGATAACGGGGGCCCCGGAGAATTCATGTCTCTTTCATAAAATAATGTTTAATAGTGATATGATCCTCTCGCAATCGTTTTCATAGCAAACAAGATTTATTTAAAATTGTTTTATGACGACACACGATTCGTGTGCATCGTTCTGTACTTAAATATAGATTAAAATTTACGGCGCTGCGATATATCTTCATCGATAAATCGGGAAACGATAATCGTCACGATTCGAAACGTTCCGGTAGCATGCGGGATGCAAGAAATAGCAAAGTTACATAATAATGTATATAGTATTATATATTAAGAAAAATTAATCGTGATCTTATGTTTTCGATGTCGATGGTGAAAATTTATTCAGCTTTAATCATCGCCTCTAGAGAAATGTTCAAAATTCGAATATTCGACGATGGAGACAGCGAAGAGAATTGTAAAAATAATAATAGCTTTAGCGATTAGTGGGATACTTTCTTCTTGCAAGAAATTGCACCTTGTTCTTGTGCATTTAATCATGTGATGACCTTCCTTGGTGCCGGAGATTTATGCGATATATTCGATGAAAAAAGAGCTGAGATAATATATATATACATATATATATTTATTAATCGCGCGTACATTAAATACGAATCATGTGAATAATAATTAGCGTTTAATGCTCGAATCGATCGACAATTACATAACCGGTCAGATTTCTGCGTGTACATTATTAAGATCCTCGAATATACATACATATAAATAGAAATAGATTGTATATATAGAATGAAGCATTATATATGTATAAATAGACAAATCTATACATATATATATATATATATATATATATATACATATATACATATATACATATATACATATACAAACATACATGTATAATGTATATGTAATATATATATATATATATATATATAATGTGCGTGTATATATATATATATATATATATATATATATATATACGCGCGAGCGTCTATTGATATTAATATTATTATTATACTATTATACGTACCAGTACACGTAGGAATGAGTACGTCATACGAATGCGAACACACTTACGAAATAAACGTAAAAATCTCGAATAATTGTTTTGTCTCTCTTTCAAAACCCGTCATGAAAGCTGCTTGCATCATGTGCATCGTTTTGTTTACGAGGCATGCACTTGCAAAAGTATTATTAGTGAAAACGTTGGATGTTTATTGCTTGTCATCGCGTGACATCATGTTTGGACGCGAAATATGTTTTTATATTTGTACTTATTGGTAAAACTATACCGGCGGAAATATTGATGACCGCGCTGTGAAAATAAACTAAGTATGCGTAAAAATAACTCGATGTTTAATTGTTGCATCGACCATTGTTGCAACTTTGTCCGCGTTTTATTATTATATCGTATTTATATTTATTATTTGACACACAATTTAAATTCACGTTTTGGAAATTAGAAAAAAATGTTACAAGAAAGAGAAAAATTAATATTCATATATTGAAATTTAAAAATTTTTATAAATATATAATACACAACAAATTAAGACCAGAACAAAATTACAGAGCAAAGTGTAGATTGCCATTTGTGTTCCAAGAAGATTTAATTTATTCATGTAACGTTAAAGCTTTAAAGTCAAACTTTTTTCTCTCCATAATATTTCTAAAATACATATAAATAAAATTTTCTGCAAATTCTTTTTTACATTTCCAGGAAATATTCTACATGGAACGATATGTGCCAAAATAATTCTATATAATTAATTTCTTACATTAATTCTACATTTTTCATGACAAATGAATAGTAAACATATCCGCGTAAAGCCCAAGCAAAATTGTTGGCGATGAAATGACAGTGCTTGCTGCGAATTTCGCAGAATTCTCGATAAATTAATGTCGCGTCTCGTAATGTGCGAGAGCGGAAACGTTTATACTGCTCCAACATTCGACTAAACCAAATCGGCATTCCATCGTTTCGCGCCGCGGGATTTATGATGGTTGCATGGATCTAACACATAGCACATCCGCCTGCTTTTGACACCCGCATGTTCCCGATCTGCATCAGCTGATGATTAATTTTAGTAGCGATCCAAGAATCGTTATTCCGTCGACAGCGAAGGCATATTGTAGCTGATGATATCAAAAGGTAGTTCACCGAAATATCCATGCCACTTATTTTATCGACGCGAGAACGAAGATAGTAATTGGAAAAGCGCTGTTATAAAAAAATTATATTCGATTCTTAAGAGTTAAAATAATTGAGCGAAAAATCCATTGCTTGTAGAATTTTAGAGAGAATCGTGTAATTGTGGGAAATGAAAAAAACGAGCACTCAAACGAAAATTTATAGGTATGGAAATCTCTAAATGTTACAATGTGTTAGATTCTCTATAAAGAGGCCATCTAAAAATCGCAGATATAGTAGACACAGTTTGCGAATTGCACATTCCAAGAATAGCTACAGAATTCAAGAATTCCAGAGTTTAGGATTTTAGATTAAAAATTTTTTTGCCTAAGAATATATGAAATGCGACTTTATAAAAGAAAGAACTGCACACTTCCGGTGAACGGAATAAAACTTTTACATAAGAAGAGGAACAAAATAGATTAACGTTTATTTGAGAGGGATTTTGGGAATCTGAGTGGCGGCATAATAACTGGTAGGTTAATATAGAGACTGTATCTAAGTATCTGTCCACGAACCAACAGATTGATGGGTTCGTTCAAAACCCTTGTTCTTAAACCCTTTTATTCGGAGCACGTGTTTCGACAGATGGGGTTAAGTCCGGCCTGAGGCGGAAGACCATGTCGAACCTTTTGCGGAACGTGATTTTAAATCGACTGCTACAAATCTATGGTTGCTTTCACAGAGAGAACTTGTATTAGTATTCGATTATACATTAACATGGAAAATGTTGCTACATTAATATTTGTTAGTTAACATTTAATTTAATATATATTGGCTTAGAAATACTTTGACGATTTTATTTTATATATTATATATTATATTATATAATTAATATCATAAAAATTAAATTATATATATATTTAAAATATTTAAGATGTATTTAAATACTTTTATGAGTCGTTGTATATTTGCCTGGTAAATTTTACATATATCAGTTTTTCTTTGAAAACTGAAATATAATTAATTATTTTCTTACAATTATTTTGTGCATAATTTATATCTATAAAATATTTAAAAAATGCGAATATGAATTATGTACGTTTGCTACATTCATGCATTGATCATATAAATTAATATCAGTGAATGAAAACTAAGTATCGAAGGAGCTATTTGCACTGCGCGTAAATGCCATTATTGACTTTTCAATAATCTACACAAACACACAAATTCAACCATCCGAATGCGACGCTAAGAACCACAATTCGAGGGTGAACAAGTCAATGTAGCAGCCCCTCTCGTTCTTTATCTCTACGGTAAACATTTTACGATATCCATCCGAGGTTGTTCGCATCACATAATTTTTTGGTAGATGAAATAAATATTCCAATAGAGAAATAAAGTAAAAAGAATCTCGATATATTTCTTTATTATATACAATATATAATAAAATATATATTATATATTCATTTTTATCGAGTTTTTAAGGAAAGAATCGTGCTTAATAAACTTATGAAGAATTATTAAAGTGATTGACATTAAAAGTATTAAACAGCTATAATAAATGATAGTTT